AGATGGAAAAAACTGTTTTTTTGACTATCACAGTATTTTCAAGTAGCCATTTTGAATTAAAATAAAATAAAAAGATTAAACATGTTGATTTCGATTGGAAAAAAAAATCGGTCCTCAAAGGGTTAATACAGAATAAAAGCATCGTTCAGTTTTCAGATAAAAAAATGTGGGCTCTGATACTTGCAAGATATGCTGCGCAGAGACTTACACCACCCCACAACGCATGACTATCTCTATAGACTCCATTGACAGCTTTGAAAATTTTCACCTCTTTGATTAAATGTTCGACAAATATTCGTTTTTGTGAAAGATGATAGTTAAATAAGTTTTTGAATGACGCTGGGAACTGTCGCATTTCGTTTCGACGGACTGGTGTTAATAGACTGGCACCATTGGCAAAGCCTTTGTCGGCAAGTAGCCTTGTGTGTGGTGGGATTGGAGGTACGCCATTATGACGAAGCATCATACTGTCGTGAACTGAGCCAATGTAACACGATTTAAAAAAGATGAGTTTTCGATTGGTTGATACGATGATTATAGTTCCAAAACAATGAGTTTTGTTTTTTCCACTATAATACAGCCGCTGATGACGACCTAGACAGACAAACACGAATGTAAGAACGGCAGAAAACCGCAAATTGTTCTACTTGCTGTTGTTGTACAGAAGCTTTTCCTTAAGCAGGGATATTCTGATACATCTTTTTCATATACGTGCCATGCTACACGGCCCGTTAGACGTATTTTTTAGAAAAAATGAAGTTACCGGGTCGCTGAATTCTGTGTCTTGTTCCGTCAACATAACCAACATATCGTCCAAGTACGGGATTCCATAATATTAATTCGTTCATTTCCGCGTAATTTGGCCATACTATCATCGAATTTAATGCTTGTACTAAAACCGGTAGAAAGAATATTCTAAATCTAGATATTTTCACTCTTGACACTCTAAATATTAAACTTAATAAAGAATACGTGGGATAAGTTCTAAGCCAAATCAACAGGAGAAGCAGCACATTTGCGTCGATACGGTTTGTGTTAATTCTTCTCTTCAATAAATTCATTTTCCGTAAACTACATTGGACAAATGTTGGATAAATGTCTCGAAACGTTTCGAGGGGTATTCCAGTTAGATCACAAAATCTCCTTGGCGTAGGACCGAGTTCAGCGTACAGATCACTTAACGATCGGCGTTCATACTGATCCATTGGCATCGTGATATGGTATATCGTCAGTTGAGGTAGTTGTGGAACAAAATTCAAAAAATACTGAAGTTGGTTTAATATTATGTTGAAGTGTTCATGCTGATCAGCTTCTATTTGACGGGCTAATCGAGCCAAAACGTCCAGGATAGCAGCGAGGAACGTCAGTATACGAATACTATGTTGAATAACGACGAGCTTTTGTATATTATTACTTAAATCCATCTAGAGTCTCTTAGCATAAATATCCGAAATATAGTTGAAAAAAACAAGTTATGACAGTGTGATACGTGTTGAAGATTTCTTTTAGATAATAGTAAAGATGAATACTAGTACGGAAAGAAAGAAACGTAGTTATTTGAAAACATCGGCATTAGAAATCAATTTGGTAACTGATTTGTTTGATCAAGGAATAGTAGCTCCCAAACAAATCGCTGAATCAATTATGAGAGGTGGACATGGCAATATCTCATTTCATTATTTATCATTAACAACACAAAGTGCTGCGAAACGTGTCAATGGAATATTAACAGCAGCTGCACGAAGGTACTTGTCTTTGTTAAAACGTGTTCAACTTTTTACTCATACCTTTCTCACATTGTATTTTTAGTGTTGGACGAACTCGTTTAAATGATGCATTGGCATCTACACAACAACCATACGATACAGAAGATTATCTGACTTATGCCGATGAAAATACTTATTATGTATCATCGGCTGCAGAAGACAGAGATATGAATGTTGAAACATTACTTCAATTAATGATACAAGAGCGAGGACAACAAAAACCGTGACAGCCACTTTCTCAGGTATATGCAACCAAAAAGAATGATGCGAAGTATTGTCAAGATGCTAAAGTGTAACAGTTCTCGAAAAAGTTTGCAATGTTAATACCTTCGCATAAGAAAAAATCCGCTTGGTTGAAATTTGTAGAAGCTAAAAGTTGTTGGACAGTATAGCGAAGATCGAGACCGGCTTACTGTTAATTTATGCACCAGCAAACGATTCATTTATTTTCAGAACACAAACATTGTACAATCGATACCACAAAATCATGTACCTTCCCCATTTCGACCTTCGTTCCAACCCAAGATTCGACATGACATGCGACATAAGATTCAAAATTGTATTCGAACACCAACACAAACGTCTATTCGGCTGCCGTCTCAAATAACACAACAAATTACAACAAATTTACCGGTACAACAATCAACAGTAGCAGTAGCAGTGTCACCAGAAGAATCACCTAACAGAGAAGAACGTTCAAATATTGAAGATGAGTGGTTGAATATTCAAGACGAATGTTTACTTATTGAAGGTGATCATTCAAATATTCAACAACGAACACAAGCAAATACAAATGAAGCACCGATGCCACGTGAAGATCCATTGTCATCAACATCTGCCATTGATGACTTAAAATCAAAATCAAATAACGAAGTTTCAACAAGAGGACAACAAGAGCAATTATATTCATCGTTAGATGAACAAACAACAGTACTACAGTCTGTGGCACCGATACCTCGACCACAAATTAGAACTGATGTTCCCATTCCTCCTATGGCAATTGATGTGAATTTAATTATGATGAATATTATCGAAAAACTAGCCAGAGTTCCCACGAAAGTCCGTGAAAAGACATGGGAATATTTTGAGAAGGTAGCAGCGGGTTTAGAAAATAATACAATTGCTGTAAGTTATTATCTTTATTTTTATTGCAACTAGTTGAAATATCCCTGTGATCAGAGTTTTCAAACAAATCTTTCTCGACTCTAATTCACACTGTTTGAATGTTATAGGTTGAAGATTTTCCAGATTTGATACGTCGACCACCTCCAGCTACATCTCAATCATCGATTTCTCGTGAAAGGCGACAACCACAATCTGAACCACATTCATTTGATTTAACTTTTGACACGTATCAATCAACTACTGACGTGGCTTCTACTCCAACAATACCACTAACAAATACTCGTCAAAAAGAAACACTCACTTCATTTCGTCCATCAATGCTTCGAAATCATTCAAACACAGAACAACCTCGGATAAGAGTTGCATCGTATCAATCTAGTCAACAAACAGCAACAACAACATCATTTCGATCATCGTCACTTGGAACATCACCCAAACGTCTATTAACAATAAACAACGTAAATCGGTATTATGATGATGAAGAACAACCGACAGAACGAAAAAGAAGAGCGCCACCACCTAGAACGAGAGTGAACAACGTCTTGAGTCGTATTGAAGATATGGTTGCTCCAATGGAGCGATACATTCAACGACACATAGCACCGTCCACTTGTTACAAAGAAGACGATGAGGAAAATTTGTGGTAAAATTGATCTTCATAAAAGGTGATCTGTAATAGTAGTACTAATACAATGGAACAATCACATTTCTCCAACTATCTTTTATTTTTTTAGAGTATCGTTTACTGCAGCTGTTTTTCATTATTTTCTTTTATTTCTTTAAACTGAGATTTCTGATTAACGATTCATCATCAGAGTTAGGATTGTTTAAAAATATTAGGAATCCACATAATTGATAAAAATGGAGAAAATTCTTCTAGGCGGTTACAAGACTTCTCTCTGAGATGTGCAAAAATGAGTTGTTGCTCCGTCTAAAACACAATATGAGAGAAGAAGAAGTAAAAAACACTGAAATTT